TCCTTCTCAGTTTATGTTTGTTGATAACAATAGCAATTGTAGCTTATACAATTGTTTTTTTCACTACAAAAACAACAACTACTGAAAATTCAACGGTCACAACTGTGACAGTCACGACAGGCACCACGAGCACTACAATGACGACAACTACCACATGTGAGTTGCTTGAAGTCAATACAGGACTGGACATCTTGAGAATGAGAGTTGTTGTCAGTATGAGAAATTGAATCAATCATATTGCAAGAAAATACTCGCAATCGCCAGCAATCATCCCTCTCCAAACAAACCTACTAGTTTTCATGTTTGAGGCAAAGTGCTGGTTTGCAACATATTCGAAGTCTCATTCAAGCTGTATTCTCTCTTTCTGTATTACACTAGATTCATCTTTGGTTTTGATACGCTGAGAAAAAAATCTGGTCGATGAGATGAAAACTAAGGAGAAATGAGTCTTACCAAATAACTGCGAATAGAGTGATGAGGTTGTTGTCCACTTTTGTCCCCGGCTTCCTATCGAAAAATTTTCATCAGATCTCGTGTTTCCAATAATATTATCCTCCGTTTCTCTTTCTAAAACTACGGGTGACTCGAGAACCTTCAGCAAAATTGTGAAAAATTTGTTTAGATTTGAAATTTTCATTCGACGAAAAGTAGGATTGTCAGTCCAATACTGATAATTAAAGATGAGATACAGAATGGAAAAAAGTCTCAATCACGTTCCACTGTATGAAATTCTCCTCTGTCGTTTCACTTCCCCATGCATCTAGGTTTCGAACGTACGACAAGGTCATTCTGTCCTTACATCACTATGAACTTGAAGACAGGCTTTTGTATTTAATAGCGTACGGGAGTCTTTTTTTAAATCAAACTACCTACATAGCTGGCTCAACCCCTGTCGGATTAGCAGTCGTCGATGTGAACAGTGACGGAAAAGCCGACATCGTTGTTGCAAACATGGGATCGAACAACGTTGGTGTCTTCTTTAATGCAGGCAATGGCACCTTTCTCACTCAAACTGTGTATCCTACTGGCTCCTCTCCACATTCACTGACAGTGGTGGATGTGTTCGTCAATTGTTTTTTCAAGGAAAGAGAGACAAGTAAACAGCAAGAATCAAAATTTACTTACAAGAAATTCTTAACAAGACCTACTCACACATTGTATATAGAGAGAAAGAAAACTTGAACAGTCAAACAATGTCATTGCAAATGATACCAATATTCTTGCTCCTCGCCATCATTCCAATTGCATCAGGGGCAGCGAACAATTCTTATGATGACTGTCTACGAGTAGCCACTAAGTTTTCAACGACGGTATCAAACGGACCTGTTTCTAATATTCTAAATACCACCGGTGTCAACGTTACCTGTACACAACTGGCAAACACTTCGTGCCCAGGTGTCTTCACCAACGGAACTTGTACATGGCAACAAAAGCTCTGTATCACATGCATCAATGGATCGACGGTACGCATTCACGTGCAATCGAATGGGCTTCCTCGACGATGTATGCTCGTACCTAGTTTTGCTTCCATTGCTGAACACAATATCGATTTCGAAGTGAATTTCAATCCTGATGTGAGTGTCAATGCACCCAATCAAGCTCCATCGCCTCTATCGGCACTCAACAATATCGTATGCAATATATCAAATCAAATTACCGTACCGGTATCTTCTGCATACGCTGCAATGAGTATGTTTATTCCAGTATTGGCTGGCGTAGCGGTCGATGGTGTTTCTATTCTCAATGTGAACAGTCTCAATCAAGTTGATCCATTTTATCCATCAGGCAACTTTACACCTGAAGGTGCCGATCAATGCCTTTCTCATCCAACAGGTATGGGAGAATATCACTATCATATTGCCAGTGGATGTATGGTAAATCCTCCTTCGGGAAATGTCGATGGATGTACACCAATGATTGGTTGTGCGAATAATGTAGCCAATTATTCACTTCAAACATTTTCATCGTACAAAAATTTAACTGTGATTGGCATAGCAAAAGATGGTCATGTCATTTATGGTCCATATCTGTCATCGGGTGCACAAGTGACATCAGGTTTTGACATTTGTAATGGGATGTTCTACGATTCAATTGGTAATTATGCTTATTTTGCCACAACCACATATCCTTACATCACTGGTTGTTTTGGTCCAGGTAATTATCCTGCATTTACGCCTAGTTGCACCACGAATGGGCCTAAAAGCTATACCAAATCATCGTATGCCGCTTCTTTCTCGACGTCGAACAAAGCAGCAGCAACTATTTTACCATCAATGAATGGCTTCTTTCAAGTATTTATGACATTCCCAGTTATGGTGATACTCTTTCAGTGACGATTTCAGTTTCGGGAATAATTAAACAGACTTATTTCATAACTTTGACTTTCATCATAACACTATTAACGGCTCCTCCTTTCTTCCTATGAAATAAATACACTCTTTTCAAAGAATTATTTTTGTTGAATAGTTGAAATCATAATTATTGGCAAAAAAACTGGATAATTAAACATGTATGTTGAACGACTACAGTGCTGAGATCCAACAATGCATTCTGTTGTACCACAAGTAGCGTTCATCGGCTTTCGATTCACTCGTCTTTAGACTGAACTTTATCTTAACCTACATCAGTAGATGGACTCTTTTTCCTTTCGAGATCGACAAAGGATTTCAATTCTCAATATCCACCTTCTTTTAAGACTAGAAAAGCTTCTTCGAACCGTATAAGCTACGTGAACACATCGCTAGCTAAACATGAAGATGATGCAGAACCTGTCACACATTGAAATAACACCCACGATCAAGCAAGAGATGGATTGATATTTCAAAACCGTATTCTTCCCAAACAGAGACGTTTTGAAGTCCAATGAGTCACAGCACTGGATCTTCGAGCGAGCAAGAGAGAAAAAGGCGCGAAAGTGATCAATCAAGAGAGAAAGAGAGATTCTGCTTGATCTGACGTAATAAAAACCTTCACTCTCAGTCAACCGACAACAGATTCCACTGTGGTTTTAAAAACGGGTTACAGACAGACAGACAGACAGATACACAGACAGACAAAATACATATTTACCGTTTGACAGACCCTATCCTTTCAGTCTAGGGAATAAAGAATCGTACGAGACCTTGATATCCACTGATCGTTGGCCGATACGAATTAATAATATCAATATTAACGTGACACAGCCGAAGTTTATTCCCGATTGCTTTGCCCTGGTTGTTCGCTATGTTCTACTACAATACAGTGACGATTATGTCGAAGAAGAGATCGAACGAAATCTTCAATCACCCGGGAATATCAGACGTATTCAATATCGTTTCAGTCGAAGAATCAACGACTTTCGCTTTATTGTCAAAGATTTACGTGAATACATTGCAACTTTAAAACTAGGTCGTATATCGATTGGAAGTTCTTACTGCACGGTCCCGCCGTTCCTAGCAGGAAATCGATTACAATATTGTACTCGATGTTGGTGTCTAGGCCATATAAGAAATAAATTCGAATTTGAGTATACTCGATGTCATATCTGCCTTTGTAATCTTGTCGACGGAGAAGCTCATGAATGCTCAAGTATCGCCCGTTGTGCTTAATGTAATGGTGAACATCACTCTTTTTCCAGTGAATGTGAAAAGGTGAGACAGTATCGACTGGAACTGACAGAACAAGTTGATAATGCCTTATCAGAGATTGTCATCCGAACAGGACGCCTTGTTACCTTGCAGGCCTACCCTGTCTTGGAAAAAATAGGTTATGGTGGCAGTACAGGGCAGGACGAGAGACGTCGCCGTGTTGAAATTCTTCTCTTAATTTTGTGTTTCACGATATGAGTTCATAGAATAAATCAATTCAGGAAAAATGCGTGACAGGTGATGCTGTAATTTTTTAAATATTTACTATTCAAGTAAAGGTATTTTTTTATCTATAAACTCGACCAAGCTTGTTTATAGTCACATTTAAGTTTGAAGTAAACTAAAATTAATCACTATTTATGCATGATTTTTATTTTCGTCTATTTTGGATAATTTATGAATGCCTCAGAAGTTCTGTTATTGTCGTTGGAATCACCTATTGCTCATTCTTTACATTCCATCGTTTCTGTATCTTTAATTGAATTCCATCAATTAACAATAATATTCAATCGAACACGATCATGATATGAAGTAATGAGATGACCTTAATTAGTATTTAATGATAGATATTGATAAAACAAAATTATCTAATGATCCATTGTCTTTTTGGAAAGCTCAACTGCAACAATTTCCACTATCATCGAAACTGACGAAACAAATTCATTTAATACCAGTTACTTCTACCGGTGATGAACGTCAGTTCTCAGCTGTTCGATTAGTTATCAGTGAACGAAGATCAAACGACAGTCCACCTCAATTAGATAATATCTTATTAATAAGATTAATCAAAAAACTAAACTATTATTTAATGATTTTTTATTTTATTTTATACATCTGAAGGTGTGAGTGTGTAAAAATTGGTTTTGTGTTTCTATTACCATTATGAATAGAAGTATTTGCATTTTTTAAAAGAACGAAAAATTACACTGTTGATAAAAAAGAAAATGGCATTAGTTTATAACGTTTCCCTTTTGCTGATATAAAAGACAAATCCTGTCTGCCCTGTAGGGCGATAAAACGATTTTTAAACAGTACAGAACAAAGGGCAGGACAGGGTGAAACGCAACAAGCTACACTGCCTGGTGCCACGCCCTGTGTATTAAATAATCAACAGAGATGAGAACAACACAATGAAAGATGAGAAGCGTGTGAAGAGAAAAAGGAAAATGGAAAAAACGTACGTAACTAATAAGAACGAATAATAGAACAAAAACGGAAGCGGAAGCATGAAGTGCGAACACTAGCAACACACATATAAAAAGAGAAAGATAGAGCACAGGTGACAGTGAATGCTGTCACACAGAGCAAAAAATTCTACCCTGTGACAGTCTCTGATACATTTCCACTAAAAGCAATAATGAAAACTAGCGCTCGATGGTAATGATCTTTGTAATATTCATTGATTCAAGTCGTCATGATTGAAAGGAAAAGGAGTATTGAAATAGATAATGAAGTAATTGAGATAGTGTAATTTTTGTTTCAAAGAGAAACGTGAATGCCGTGAGGGAAGTCTTCAATTTTGAAAGATAATCACATTCGATCTTCTTACAAAAGAAAGTAACAATAAAGGCTAAAATGATTTTGTTGACGAATATAATGAAATCAAGATTGAGGAGGGTTTTTGTCTCACCTATAGAACTTTCCAAATGTTTCATTTTACGTCACTGAAAAAGACTGAAAAATAAAGAGTTTAAAGGCAGATTTTTTTATCTGTTTCTCTAAATTATCCTGCAACGAAAGTGCCATGTTAGTCATTTCGTAGCTTTTTTTCTGAGGGTCCGTGAGTTCTACATGTTATGGCCTCAATAGGGCTACCCTGACAAGTTTTGTTTTTCAAGGACGATCAATTTTTATTTACATTTGAAGTAGCTTGTTTTTTATTTTCATAATAAGTCAATGTCAAAATGATTTTTCTTCTTCAGTTAAACTTCCATCAAAGATTGTTATGCTTGTTCGTTCGAGCGAGCACTTGATCGTCAATTATTTTGTTAATCTCTTCGAAATAAAGTTGAGAAGAATTGTCTTTTGCATCCATAAATATGTCTTGCACTGTTTCAGCTTTTTGAATGTTTTCTTCTTCTTGCTCAAACATTTGTTTAATATACGATGTAATTTCATCACTTGATAGAATTCGTTGATGATGTAAAATATCGGTATTTTGCATACATTTACCAATACCAAACTCCTTTTCTACACGAAATCCATTTGGCATCTGATCACCAAACCATGGCCACACAAGTACTGGTTTTCCAGCTAACATGCACTCGACCAAACTGTTCCAACCACCGTGTGATAAAAAGAAACGTGTAGCGGGATGTGAGAGAATGAATCTTTGTGGTGCCCAATCGAGAAGTAGATGTTTTCGATCATCGATAAACAAGGGTGGCAGATGTTTGTGAAGTGTTGCTTTCAACGACCAGATAGTTGGATAAGGCATGAGAGCATCAGCCATTTGGATGAGTTGTTCAGCTCTTAAACAAGCAATGGTACCGAAGGCAACATAGATAACAGAGGGTGATTCATTTGCAAATGTCCACTGTGCTTCCAGCCATTCTTTGACGTGTGCGATAGTATCCGTCTAAATGAGTATTCAGATAAAGGAAATTAAATTTTCTTTATAGATAATAAGAGATACACCACCTTTTTCATCATGAAAATCGACTATTTTCTGTTTGAGACGTTTCGTCTTTATTCAAAAGACATCCTCAGTCAAATGTGACAGACGAAAGTTGGTTAAAATAGAAGAAAAAATAAAAAT